CTGCAATGGCTTGCCGACGTTTTTTCGCGTTTCAGCGTCTGCTGCAATTTATGTGTATAAATGACAAAAGTACCGTTATTTATGGCCAGCAACCGCAACGCAATTTGGCAACACTTGTTGGCCAATTGGCAAAAATGTGAAACGAGCTGTGCCGCACAGAACAAAAAGAAACACCGCATTTCCAAAAATATATGTAAGCATGTAAATGTGTATTACAGCTTAGTGTATTGCAATATACGTATATATTTACAAAAATATATCCAAAAATATATCGAATTATATATACAGAAATGTGTGAGTGTGTGGGCTTAGCAACGGTATTGTCTATATTCCATAATATTCAATGCAAAGCAACAAGAACAATTGAGAAGGCTCTCGTCGAGTCTGCTCGACTACGAGATCCCCCGAACCCTTAAATAATTTTTTGCGTCTTTCTGCTTACACACACTGATTTTCGATAAGGTTTTTATCGATAAAAAATAACGGGATGAGTTATCGATTTTTGGTGATAAATTCGATATCCGCGCTGTATATACGGACATTAAAAAAAATTTGAAGTGTCTAGCTCTTGTATCTTCTGAAATCGACGTGTTCATAAATACGGAAAGACGGACAGACGGACAGGGCTATATCGACTCAGCTCGTCGCCCTGATCAAGATTATATATACTTTGTGGGGTCTGCGACGACTCCTTCTGCCTGTTACATATATTACAACAAAACCATTATACGCTGATTTCCCATTGAAAATGGGTTCAGGGTATAAAAAAAAACTAAATTGGATAGCCAAGCAAACTAGCCTATAAACTTTTCAATTTATTTATAGTTTAATGCGCTTCTGCAAGATTTACTATTAAAATAAATAAAGGAATAAAATATTGTTTTTTTTTTTTTTTTTTTTTTTTTTTTTGCAAGACTAAACAGCAAGTTTAAGTCGCCAACAAAATACAAAAAGACTGCAATAGCAAATGCTCTTCATTTTGAGTGTCGCAAAGGACAGCTGCTCATTTTGTTGACTATATACATATATATGTGTATGTGTATGTGTCTATACGTATATACATTTTTTTCTGCCGTCCTTGGCAAAATTTGAATTTTTATTGCTGATCGATGGGTGCGCGTATTTTTCCCATTGCTACGCCCACCCGCCCAAATACGAGCCTTAGCGAAATTATGCGCATTTAGGTCGTTGACTATATATCCGTATCGAGCGGGGCATAGCCTGCCGCTTGTTGCTGCCATAAATTCACCAACGCCCTGTGTGAAAATGTGCCAATGCGTTTGCCTTCAGCTCATAGAAGTCGGCTTCGTCTCTCTGTGTCCTGCGTCCTGTGTGCTGTGTCCTGTGGCATGCTCCCTGTGTCCCGCATGTCTTACTGTGTGCCAATATTGACCCTTCTGTTTTGTTGTCGCGCTTTTATTATGCTAATATTTTTTAGGAGCATTGCCAAGATTTATTGAAATTACTGCGACGCGCACATAAAGCTGAAAGCCAGCGCCAGCAGCAGAGCCAGGAGGCTGAAAGCTGAACGCTTAGCTCACTGCGTTGTCCCCGCGACGTATGAGCATCAATTAAATATCCATTTAATGTGCAGCTTGATGCTTGTTGTTGCATGCTGCATGTTGAATGTTGCATGTTGAATGTTGCATGTTACATGTTGCATAATTGACGTTTTTTTCTTGCAATTAAAACAACTAATTGGCAGCAAAAACTATTGTTATAGCCAAAGGCAACAGCTGTTGGCCTGCCAGCGCAGCTCCAGCAAAAAATCCTCGCTGAAAAATGAGTTGCATAAATTTTAGATTACAATTTGCAGAGTTGCACGAGACCGGGAGAATCCAATTCTGACTTTTGGAAGGAATGACCTGACTAAAAATCTTTATTTTTATTATAATTATATATAATATAAGGAATACAATATATGCTCATCAGCTGCTCAATAGTTTTCAGCCTTACAAAT